AATTTCTTTACTCAAAGAGGACAAAAGACTAACAGAATTTAACAAGATTATAGTTCTTTCTGAATAAGAAGCAGAAACAGAAATTTTTGAAATATGACTAGCCATTTTCTTCTTTTGATGTATGCTGCGAAAAATTAAAATCTAATTAAGTCATTTTTTCTTTAATTGAGGTGGTAAGTGTGACACATTGGCAACAGAACAAGACAATTTACATTTAAAATAAGATAGCAAAAACAATCGACTAATTTTCTTATTTTAAGAGTAAAAAAAAACATTCCATTGGTAAATCATCTTATTTACCTATTAAAAAAACAGCTATAGTCTTACAGATCTATCAGTAAACTGTAAACAGATAGCAGGTGTTTGCAATGGTATATTTTGTCTTGTTGAGATAATATTGAAAGTTCAATATGATGATTACATTTTTCAGCTACCCTGTGTTTTGCATTAAAAACACTTACTGCTACTGCATAGCATAGGTCCCTTTTCCATAAAAACAGTGCCCAAACATTTTGAAGCTGAACTGCACTGCTCTCCAGTGTCAAACAGGGGCTACTGCAAATACATTAAATCCACGGGCATATAATATTAGAAACAAAACAAAAATGCTAATGTATGTATGCTTTGCTGTGTGTTATAAGGTGGAAACATAAAAACAGTGAGGTGGGGAAAAAAAGATGGAATTGGGAAAAAAAATTAATTTCTAAATGAGGGAAAACATTGAAATCGTTCACCTGAGTGAGAACAGTAGGATGCAGAATATGGCACTGCTATCACTGCCTATCAAGGTAATGACGTTAACAGATGCCCAATCCATCAGAGAAAAAATAATAACTAAACTTAGACCAAAGCAAAAATTAGAATGACCAATACACCTTAAAATCCTATTGACAGTCATGTTTAGCTTCTTCCATTTTCTTATGATTGCTCCAAAAGTGGGGATTTTTTCACCAAGCTGCTGGCCAATTTCCTCTTAGTCCCTTCCAGCCTTGTAAACATCTAAGATTTAGTCTCTAGTGTCTTTGGTTAGCACTTTTGTCTTGGCCATGTTACCCCTTGCTCACACTGGCTCCGGTGCAGTAACCGAGCCGACGGAGACCGCAACTCCCGCACACCCCCTCTCACACCGCCCTTTTGACTACGGTGCGGTGCGGCTCTGCGGCTCCGGCAACAGGTCCGGAGATTTAACAGAAGTTCACTTGAGTTCACGTAACTTCACGCGATAACACGGCCCAAATAAAGGATTTTTGCGAGAGCTTGTTGCGGAGGGCTCCGGTACGCCGCAAGGATAGCTTTCTTGCGGAATTTTCTGCAGCGCCGGAGTGTCTCGGTAACCGCAGCCGGACAGCTCAGCAGCCGGTGAGAGAGGTTTACGTCTTTTTAATGACTTGGAATCACTGCGGCGCCGCACCCACCGCACCGCAACGGTAAGACCGGAGTCTGTGTGAGCCTGGGGTTAGTAGTTGGATTCTTACTGATTGTATGGGTGAACAGGTGTCTCTATGCAGCTAACGACCTCAAACAGGTGCATCTAATTTAGGATCATAAATGGAGTGGAGATGGACATGTTGAAGTCAGACTAACAGGTCTTTGAGGGTCAGAATTCTAGCTGATAGGTGTTTAAATTCTTATTTGCAATGCATCATATAAACAAATAGTAAAAAAGTCATATATTGTGATTTCTGGATTTTATTTTTTTATAGATTATGTCTCTTACGGTGGTCATGCACCTACGATGACAATTTCAGACCCCTCCATGATCTCTAAGTGGGAGAACTTGCGAAATAGCAGGGTGTTCAAATACTTATTTCCCTCAATTTAGCTGGGCTGCAGCCATCAAAATCATTGTTTATAAATGTTGTTTTTCAGTGTAGTTCTGTTTCTCATACAATGACTAACTGTATGTGCTCTCTTTATCCTCTGACATGGGAACTGGCTTGGACCTCCTCTCCTTGGTGTGTCTTTCCTGGACATAGTGTGTGTGTGGAACAGTTACCTTTTGTATATCTGCTTCTTTTTGTATGTCTGCTTCTATTTCCTTGAACCCCAGTCAGCCTAACCCGTAGCCTGGCTTCTTCTTTTTAAAAGGGAGCATATATATATATATATATATATATATATATATATATATATATATATATATATATATATATATAATTTTTATGTATATTATATATATAATCCATATCCTAACCTTTCTGTATAATCTGTATCTAGTCTTCATATTTATATATTTTATTGAAATTTATCTGTTTATATATGCCATTTATAGTCAATACATACATAGTTTCTGTATACATGTATATAAATATTTATATCCTGTATAGCACTTATGGATAAATGCAAATCACATTTCGTTTCTTTGTATTTGTGACAGTGTAATGACAATAAAGTTAAGATCTAATTATAAGTAGATGCAATCAGCTGGTTTTCAATAGATAGAAAACTTTGAACCAATATGACTACATGATCTGGTTGAATTGTTTCTGTAAAGTGCCCTGAGAAGACATGTGTTATGACTATGTAAATAAACTGAATTGAATTAAATGCAAACACATATTCACCTTACATAGACATGGACACAGAACATATACAGTTAACATAGACACATAGACAAATTATATAGACATTACATATACATCTTACATAGAAAAATATTCAAGTACATACATGTAGACAACAATACGCAGTGCTGTCAAACGTACACACGTTTGATACTTAAAGGAATAGTACACCCAAAACATGATTAGCCTTCATTTTCTACTCACCCCCATGCTGAACAACACTCTGGAGTACTTTTTTGATATCTCAAATGCATCTGGAGATCTGGGAGGCTTCTTGCTGTCTGCTGAAATTCAAATAATGGAGGTCTACGGTGCCCGAGGCAGAAAGGTCCATAAAAGTCCGCAAAAAACGTGACAATATTCCTCCATACTGCTCATCCAATGTATTCCAAGTGTCCTGAGTGGGTAGCATCCAGAATTTACTCGAAACGAAGTCATTTAGAATGTTTTTAGAGCATAAACAGTAGTGTATAGGATTTCCTGAAAGCGCGCGCCTGCGCGTTCATGACGCTACGGAAGCCAGCAGACCAAACCAGATGAAAGTGCGCATTCAGCGTCTGCTCTGCCGATAATGCAAGCGTAGAAGAAGAAATGTGCTGTTTACCTGTGCAAAGAAAGAAACAACGAAAGAAAAATGTCTGAGGACTTCAGTGTTGAGGAAGAGCATGAGTTCTTTGCCGAGCTGAATGCGCACTTTCATCTGGTTTGGTCTGCCGCGGTTTCCGTAGCGTCGTGGACTCGCAGGGGCGCGCTTTCAGGAAATCCTATACACAACTGTTTATGCTCTAAAAACATTCTAAATGACTTCATTTCGAGCAAATTATGGATGCTACCCACTCAGGACACTTGGAATACATTGGACGAGCAGTATGGAGGAATATTGACACGTTTTTTGTGGACTTTTATGGACCTTTCTGCCTCGGGCACCATAGACCTCCATTATTTGAATGTCAGCAGACAGCAAGAAGCATCCCAGATCTCCAGATGCATTTGAGATATCAAAAAAAGTACTCCAGAGTGTTGTTCAGCACTGGGGTGAGTAGAAAATGAAGGCTAATCATGTTTTGGGTGTACTATTCCTTTAAGTATAAGTATAGATACTGCAGTTTAAAAACACTCTGGCAAAAGTTGAAGTATCAACTTGACCTCTTTACTCAAGTAAAAGTGAAAAAGTACGTTCTCCAAAAACTACTTGAAGTATAAAAGTATAAAGTAACCTTTAAAAAAAAAAAAAACAGCCAGATGCCACTATATGAATTAAAAGCTTAATTTTTCAACTATTTTGAAAAATTCTTTGAGATAAGGCCAAGGATGAGGGAGGACTTGTTGGTCTCCATCTCCCGATATGCTTTCAGACATTTCAGAATCTTTTTCTGAATCCAGCATTGTAGCATGGCATAGACAATTCACGTTTGCAGATTGAAGAACACCTGCTTGCTTCTGTTGATTTCCTTTAGCTAACCAATGACTGTTTGCGTTATATGACTCATCCAATTACACAAGTTTTCACTAGATGTGGATGGCGCCAATGATCTGCATTGGATGGCGCACATGACGTGAATTAAGTATTTATAAACATTAAACCGAAGCAAGAGTAACAAGTAACGTTTGTTTTAAAAATTAAGGAATAGAAAGTAAAAGATACTTGTGTGAAAATGTAATGAGTAGAAGTCAGAAGTAAGAAGAAAAATAGGTAATGGAGTAAACTCATGGAGAAGCAGCATTTAGTTCATATGGTCCACTTATCTGGAACAAACTTCAAAGAAACTGTAAAAGTGCGGAAAGCCTGATTTCCTTTAAATCAAGTATAAAAACACATTTGTTTAGGATTGCCTTCGACTGTTCTAGTTAAACAGTTCAACTGTAATATCATTAGTTCAACTTTTTTTATTTTCTTTATTCCAAGTATTTTTAATGTTCTGTTTTGTTTCTGCATTTTTTATTTAATTTTTTTCCTACTTGCTTTGATTCTGTTTTATTTTCCTATATTTCAGTCATGTAAAGCCCTTTGCACTGAATTGTGCTATAGAAATACATTTTCCTTGCCTTGCCTAAACCTAGATAGATACCTAAAAAGTGTACTTAAGTACAGTAACAAAGTATTTGTACTTTCTTTATTTGACACCTCTAAGTATACTTATATATTTTGGGAGTAATGGAACCCCATAGGATGTGCTATAGAAACACACTTATCTTTAGAATAACATTTCTCATTAGACGTATATAATCAATTGTTGTGTAGACTTGTTACAGGGTTATTACAACATTCCTGTGGCACTGCTACCTCTTTTTAAAGAGGCTGGCTCTAACTTTAATGATATGAACAATCCCCCTTATTTCTATTGGTCCGATGCTAGCAGAGAATCAACCTATTTGTGAACACAGGGTGAAAATACGCCTATTCACTTGATAGTTATTAATATTCATGAGGTGGTGGCTTTTTTATGTTATTTTAAAACATTTCGAATAAAAAGCCTTGTTATTAACCGGTGTGTCGTTATTTTTTATTACATGTATTTAGCTTGTGTAGCAAAGACGGGGTTAAAACAATTTAGTCGCCAGCTGTTGGTGTGTTTCATAGCCAGTCGTCGTCACACTTTGCACTGTCTGAGCGGCATTTAATACTAGACAGTTGGCATCGAAATGGCATCATTAGCGGCGGGGCTTGAGCCAGGTTTAACACCAGGAACGGGACCTCTGGCTGATGCTTTAGTCCCCGCCAGTATATTCGCTCCAGACCGGGGAGGATGCGGGGAAGAGGACGGCGACGAGATCGACGAAGACGGGGAGCTGACCAACGGCGAGCCCGAGGATCGGAGGATCGACTGCAGCAGCAAGGTAGCGCTAGGCCTCAATGTAGCATTGCTAATGCTAACGCGGTTGAATGAATGAAAATATGAATTCTTGTTATTCACATTGCATTGTTACCAGCATGCTTTGAATATAGATATATTGATCAATATTAGGTTTGGTCACATGGGGTTCAGGGATAGCGATATGTCGAGCTTGTTGCCATTTTTTTCTGACGTTAACTGAAATAGTTAGCCTTGTGGCTAACATTAGCTCCAGCTGATGTACTACCTTAAACCGGCATAGAGAGATGATTTATATGCAAACAATAACACGTTTAACAAATGTTACACGGAAATAATATCCGAGAGTGTGGACAGATACGTCTTTTCTCACGACTCAAATGGAGTAATTTAACATTTACACTAAAAAAAACCCAGCTCATAAATCAAAATAGCATACAGTGTGTAAACATTGCATCGTATGCTGTTTTGTACGATCACACCACTGATTTTGCAGTTTATAAACAGCTCTAATTTAGAACCCCGATTTATGAAATGGACACAATATATTACATGATGTAACCCTGATTGTTTGCATGCAAGCGACAGAGCAATAAAGGTATTTCCTGGAAGCTTCAGATTACCTATTACTGAGGTGTAATGCCATACTGCAAAGATTGCACTGTGTTGCATCACAAATAGAAATATTCTGCTTACTTTATTCCTGGTAAAAAAAATGCGTGACAAAAATGGCATTCCATTATCCTTTTGCACCTATACTAAAGCATATTTATACACAATCTTCATGTTCTGCTGTACTAAATAGTAATAACACATTTACTTATAATATCAGTGACAATGTATTGATAATTCTGATTAAATAACCAGAAATTATTGCTTCTTAAAATTATACATTAATTAGTGAATTATGCATTAAAAGGATTTAAATACATATTTTATGCATTGAATTTAAACTATCCACTGCTGTAGTTCTGATGTATCTGCAGTCTCCTATAGGTGATATTTTTTAGTACTGCTGCTTTCCTTTTGGACTACCTAATGGAACATGATTGTAAATATAAGAGTTGTAACAAACTTTCCTCAATCTTAAGGTAGTTAAAGATGAAAAATGTAATCCATGTTAAAGAGTAGTGCATTATAAACTCCTGTTAATAATCTAAATCAGTGTTCCCTGTAGTACAGCTTTGCAGAATGGAATATTTTGTGTGTGTATCAGATAGCCTGAGTAAATGTGCAACGAAGTAGTTCATGGGAAAACTGACAGCTGGGATTCTGTTTGTGAGAAAATTGTTTTTTTTGCACTCCCTTTCCCCAAAACCATCTATCCATTTTCCAACACTCTTATCCCAGCTGGGGTCATGAGGGGTGCTGGTGCCTATCTCTGTCTATGGGCGAGAGGCAGGGTACACCCTGGACAGGCCGCCAGCCTATCGCAGGGCATTCCCCAAAAACATTTCATTTTATTAAAGTTGCTTATATGTAGCCCTCCACTCTTGAACAAGAACACACTTAAATCAATTCTGCATTTATTAATCAGTATTTTCTGTTTGTTTTCTTTTTTTCTTGAACCCCATCAGTCAGCGCTTGTAAGCCCAAATGGGGAGCAGTATGACTCATTACTCCGACAGCTTCGGGATAGGATGGAGGAGGGCTGTGGGGAGACAATCTATGTGGTTGGAATGGGCTCTGGTAAGAAACACACAGCTAATCTGTCCGATACACAGCATTCTGAGCCAACTAAACCATTTTTTTTTTTTAACACACCCCTCATCTTGCAGTTTATAAACACTTTTTTTATGCCCTATTGCATAGATGGTGGTGACTGGGGTCTGGATGAAAAAGATATGGAGGCCTCGGTAGCAACAGTCCACTCTCTGTGTGAGCAGCTGGATTCTGACCTGATCCCCCTTAGAGAGCGCACTGAGGCTGCTGGAATGGTGCGTGACTATCTGATTCGGAGGCGTGTGGGTGAGCTGGACTTCCTGGAGGTCAGGTCAGTAGTTGACATGTCAGAATTTTGAAGCTTTGTCTCCTCAGTTATAGCAGGATTAACCAGTGATTGTCTGGTGTTTTTAAAGCTACTTTGGTGCTTTTGTGTCCCACCCAGAGTTGCAGTGGTGGGGAATGTGGACGCCGGTAAGAGCACTCTGCTGGGAGTGTTGACACATGGTGAGCTGGACAACGGCAGGGGTTTTGCCCGGCAGAAGCTTTTCAGGCACAAACATGAGATGGAGAGTGGCAGGACCAGCAGCGTGGGCAATGACATCCTGGGGTTTGACCAGGAGGGTCAGGTGAGGGCTAGATAGGTGTAGTCTGGTATTTGGAATAATCGCTTTCAAAAAATCAGGTCCATTAAAAAACCAGTGCTGCTATGTTTAGTCCAGTTACTTAGTAAACTGTTCCATTTTAAACATAATTACCCACAAGGAGTGTAATGACAGATGACAGTTATACACTCACCGACCACTTTATTAGGTACCCCATGCTAGTAACGGGTTGGACCCCCTTTTGACTTCAGAACTGCCTCAATTCTTCGTGGCATAGATTCAACAAGGTGCTGGAAGCATTCCTCAGGGAGTTTGGTCCATATTGACATGATGGCATCACACAGTTGCCGCAGATTTGTCGGCTGCACATCCATGATGTGAATCTCCCGTTCCACCACATCCCAAAGATGCTCTATTGGATTGAGATCTGGTGACTGTGGAGGCCATTTGAGTACAGTGAACTCATTGTCATGTTCAAGAAACCAGTCTGAGATGATTCCAGCTTTATGACATGGCGCATTATCCTGCTGAAAGTAGCCATCAGAAGTTGGGTACCTTGTGGTCATAAAGGGATGGACATGGTCAGCAACAATACTCAGGTAGGCTGTGGCGTTGCGACGATGCTCAATTGGTACCAAGGGGCCCAAAGAGTGCCAAGAAAATATTCCCCACACCATGACACCACCACCACCAGCCTGAACCATTGATACAAGGCAGGATGGATCCATGCTTTCATGTTGTAGACGCCAAATTCTGACCCTACCATCCGAATGTCGCAGCAGAAATCGAGACTCATCAGACCAGGCAACGTTTTTCCAATCTTCTATTGTCCAATTTCGATGAGCTTGTGCAAATTGTAGCCTCAGTTTCCTGTTCTTAGCTGAAAGGAGTGGCACCCGGTGTGGTCTTCTGCTGCTGTAGCCCATCTGCCTTAAAGCTCGACGTACTGTGCGTTCAGAGATGCTCTTCTGCCCACCTTGGTTGTAACGGGTGGTTATTTGAGTCACTGTTGCCCTTCTATCAGCTCGAACCGGTCTGGCCATTCTCCTCTGACCTCTGGCATCAACAAGGCATTTCCGCCCACAGAACTGCCGCTCACTGGATGTTTTTTCTTTTTCGGACCATTCTCTGTAAACCCTAGAGATGGTTGTGCGTGAAAATCCCAGTAGATCAGCAGTTTCTGAAATACTCAGACCAGCCCTTCTGGCACCAACAATCATGCCACGTTCAAAGTCACTCAAATCACCTTTCTTCCCCATACTGATGCTCGGTTTGAACTGCAGGAGATTGTCTTGACCATGTCTACATGCCTAAATGCACTGAGTTGCCGCCATGTGATTGGCTGCTTAGAAATTAAGTGTTAACGAGCAGTTGGATGGGTGTACCTAATAAAGTGGCCGGTGAGTGTATGTGCTGAACATTTTTGGTAAAGACCTTTTTGCTGAGTGTGCATCAAATAGATCCGATATTGTTAAAACTTAACACATGCAAAATATGCAGAACAAAGTCCAAAACACTACGATGAATTTTAAACAGCAACACGAAACAGACACAGCTCCCAGGTTTCTGCATTATCATCAGCTTGAGAACATGATGGGTTCTCATTCACCCAGAGTGAAAATAACATGAACAGTGGAGTTTATTTTAGAAGTTTTCAACAATGCCTACCTAGACCTACATTACACTGGATACGAGCATAAATATCGTTTGCACTTAAGCCTGGTTTGTTCTCGAAACATTGAACTACGCGTTGACAGTAATGGAATGGCGCCCTGACACTCCTCCAAATCTGTCATGGGCAGCGCCCATCCTGCTTCATTCAGAAAGAACAAGATGTAGTCTTTTTACACACAAATAAATCCTTACTTTAACAAAGGAAGAGACTAACAAGAGAGAAAAACGACTATAGAAAATTAAGAGAAACATTAATGTGAGTTTTAATGTAAGATTGTCTACATTTATTGGTATCTGGAATTTAACAGTTTATCAAATTCCTGAAAAGTCCCGAACATTAACAGTGGTTTCATTGTTGTATAATGTTAGTAACTCATACACGCCCGTCTGATAAAAATAATAAAAAAAAGTTTTTGAGTATAACAAAATTAATTGATTACAAAAAGTTTCTCTAGACTTAAAAATCTTACAACATGCTAACCAGCCACAATCCACAGTTTGCACATAGCAAACTGTGGATTGTTGTTTACCGTTTTCAAACCTTTATTACTGACTCACCAGTTTCCTGTGCGTCCCCAGGTTGTGAACAAACCTGACAGCCATGGAGGAAGCCTGGACTGGACCAAAATCTGTGAGAAGTCCTCCAAAGTCATTACCTTCATCGACTTGGCCGGTCATGAGAAGTACCTGAAGACCACCGTGTTTGGGATGACTGGACACCTTCCAGACTTCTGCATGCTGATGGTTAGACAGTGAGGGGCATTAGTGTTTGTCTGTTTGCCTAGATAAAAAAAAATAATAATCAGAAGTATTTTAGGCTTAGATTTCTAGACTAGACTGAATGCAACCAATTAAAAACAGAAAAACTGATTTTCTTTCTTTCCCTCTGTCTGTTTCACCAGGTGGGCAGTAATGCTGGTATTGTAGGAATGACCAAAGAACACCTTGGCTTAGCTTTAGCGCTAAACGTGCCGGTCTTTGTAGTGGTTACTAAAATAGACATGTGTCCAGCCAACATCTTACAAGGTTAGTTTTCAGGTATTCCTAACATATTATATAAACACTGTGCTGATTATATTCAGTTAAAATTTATTTCCTTTTTAAAAAAAAATAAACATACATCTAAAAAAAAATCTTTTGTCCAACAGAGACCTTGAAGTTACTCCAAAGGTTATTGAAGTCTCCTGGCTGCAGGAAGATTCCGGTCCTGGTACAGAGCAAAGATGATGTGATAGTCGCAGCCTCAAACTTCAGTTCAGAGAGGTACGGGGTCTCTCTATCTGCACGACTAAAATATCAACTCAGTCATAACTAAACGCCTTGCTTGTAATCTGTGTTTTCTGCCCAGGATGTGCCCCATCTTTCAGATTTCCAATGTAACTGGAGAGAACATGGACCTGCTTAAGATGTTTCTCAACCTACTCTCCTCCAGAACATCGTACAGAGACGATCAGCCTGCCGAATTTCAGATAGATGATACCTATTCTGTACCGGTACCTGAAGCACAGCTAAAATTTCATTCCTAGATGTAGTTTACAGTGGTAATTAAACTAACCTTACTGAAATAGTTTTAAGTGCTCACTGAATTTTCACCGTGTCCTGTTTCCTCTCTAGGGAGTGGGAACTGTAGTATCAGGAACTACCTTACGCGGGCTCATACGTCTGAACGATACTATGCTACTGGGTCCGGATCCTCTTGGAACCTTCATTCCTATTGCTGTTAAATCAATCCACCGCAAACGAATGCCAGTTAAGGAGGTTAGAGGTGGACAGACTGCCTCGTTTGCTTTGAAAAAGGTTGGAAAGAATAAATGCTCCATGTTATCTATTAAAACATGTGATTTGTGAACCTTCTGTAGTAAAGGTGTTTAGTCTGGTTTGCTAAAGGCTTAAAAAATGCTATTCTCTCACTTTTCTCTAAAGATCAAACGGTCGACTATAAGGAAAGGAATGGTGATGGTGTCGCCGAAGTTAAACCCTCAGGCAACTTGGGAGTTTGAGGCTGAAATTCTGGTTCTGCATCATCCGACTACGATATCCCCCAGATACCAGGCGATGGGTGGGTAATAGTGTTACTGAGAGGCTTTATGCACACATTTCTACCTATACATATACCCTTTATTTATTCCGATTTTATATTTGATGCACCAACAAAAAGCAGTTCATAAATGTCAAGTAGAAAGAAAAAAATGTACAATGTATGATTTTATTTTTCACAAATTAAAATCTGAAAAAGTTGGTCCTCCTTCATTGCAACCAGTGACATTGAAAAGAAGCAATACAAAATACAATGAAGTAATATAGTTCTAACATGAAAGAGTGTAGAAAAACATTTTATAAATGTGTTACAAAGGAATTTGTACTGGATTGATTCATTAAAGTGTGCGTCTTTCTATTCTTTACCTCATACAACAATCAGTCCATTGTGGGAGTATACGACAGACAGCCACCATCTTGTCCATGAACAGAGACTGCTTAAGGACAGGGGACAAGGCTTCAGTCCACTTCCGCTTCATCAAAACGCCAGAGTATCTCCACTGTGACCAGAGACTGGTGTTCAGAGAGGGCCGCACCAAGGCTGTGGGAACAATCACTAAGGTAGACAGGTTCCGCCGACTCATAAAAAAAGTGAAAATCAAGTTTTAAATTGTCTTATTTCCTCTCCCTTTCAGCTGTTGCACTCTACTAATAACATGCCATCTAACTCCAAACCTCCACAAATTAAAATGCAGTCCACAAAGAAGGTGCCTCTTAGGAAAGAGGATGGCACCATGGCAACTGGCGACGATGCAGCAACGATAGCACAGCCGGCTGGCTCCAGCACGTCACAGCCGGTGAGTCAACACAGATCAACAGACACACCCAGTCGCTTGAAGCTTTCACACTTTATGCAGATTTCTTCCAATCTTTGGAAAGCAGCGACCAATTCTAACTCACTAATATCCTTTGTCTCCCCATCTTCTTATTCATTTAACCAATGTTGACTTGTTTGTCTCATCCCTAACTTTAATTTTGCCACATTGCATCACATCTTTTTTACTTTGCTTGCGTGGATGAATCCAAAGGGGGAGGGAGATGATGACCCTCAATTAAAAGAGGGTAACAAAGAGAACAAGGTAAATGTGTATGAACCAGAAAAAACAGGAGGCCAAAATAAAGTGCTGAAGTAAAAGCTCTGCAATTTGATGTGTGCACGGTCTCATTACTACTTTGAAGGGGTGTTCCACCTAAACCTGTGCTTTCTGTCCTGTCCTCTGTAGCCAAAGTCTGGAGGAGGTGGAAGGAGAAGGGGTGGCCAGAGGCACAAAGGAAAAGGCCAAAATAGCAGCGCCAACTCAATGACAGCACCCTCCTCCACAGCAACAGGAAACTGCTGAATTGTTGGAATTTTTTTCTTTTTTACATCTCCATCTTTAAGTTCACAAAGTGTCATTCCACAACTTTGACAGATGTTTGAATCGAGATTTAAAAATCCTGCCTGTTCATACCAAGTTCATCTTTGTTCTGAAACAAATGTTATGCATTTCAATGTCAGCTGCCTTTACAAATTGAAAAAAAGTAATGAGGTGTTAGAGGTCAGTCTCAGTCAGGATGAGGTTCCCCCCCCCTTACCTTAGTGGAACCGGCCTTTTGGCTGGAGACAGCAGAAGGGCCGTGCTTCTGCAAGTGCAGCTATATTCACTTCCTCCTGCATCGACTGTGTATTAATGACAAAGTAAGTTGGACTATTTATACTACAAATGTAAATTAGGTGTAAAAAATTCAAATTTGAGTTTGTAAAAATTGTATGCAAATTTAAAAAAACTGAATGTAGCAAAGGGGGAAAATGATTGAAACAAGTTTAAGCTATACAAAATAAGCTGTGGCATTATTTTAACCCTAGTTATTTATTTGGCACAACAGCAGTACATTTACTCTTAGATGGTTGGACTATATTTAATCTCACTTGCACTCTTAGATTCAGTAGTATTTGTCATGCTTTAACTGGTGGCTACCTTATACTAGCATTAATAAAATAACAGCACAGTAAAGCAGTTGCTAATGATTCCAATGCTTTTCCTGTTAATCTAGTACTCCTGTGTGGTATGGCCTGTTGCCGTTTGTGACAATTTCAGACATTTTTCTGCAAAAAGAACAATAAAAATGAAAAAAAAAAAAACTATACAGCTGTGTTTCTTTTAAATTTTTTCACAATGATTTCCATCGTCCATAAAAGAACTAAAATGGGTAAAGTCCTTTCCTACTTAAAACTACCAAATTACTGTTTAAGCTTAATGCCTTTTTTGGACCTAGGAATGGGAACATTTTTATTGTTGGGTATGTTTCTAGTCAGGCTAAACTATTAACAGCAATTGCAATAAAGTCGTTTTTAAAAACTTAATTATATTCAAGAGCAGGAAACATACTTTCTCACTCCAGCCTTGTGGCAGTGATGTGCTTTACAAAAGTTTGCTGCCCCACATAAGGGAAAATAATAAAGTGACCATAAAGTCACATGACGATACACTTGACAAGAGAGCATTCAAGTCCATTAAAACCTTGCTGTTGAAAATGTGTGGGTGCAAAATTGGTTAAAAAAAAAACAAAACAAAAAAAGCAATTTTAGCTACCACTACGCTAATTTCTAGTGTAATGTCAAGGTTTCAAAGGTGCAAGAAACTCTAAAAAATAAAGAGAAAAGACAATGAAATTTCCCCGATATGTGCAACTTTAAAAAAAAAAATCATCTTAAATATACCTTTTACAAGTGTAAAGTACCTAAAGGATTTTTACTATGTTACAGTTTAATAAAAACAAAGTATTCATTATATATTATTTTATTGTAACATGTAATGATGTAACACAAAAAGTAGCTACATTATTTTAAATGATACAAGTGCGTTTTGTACTACCCTTATTAAGGTAGTAGACACAGTTCATGATCTGTGGCTGACCTGGCACATGAAATAAGACAGTAATCTGACATGTTTAATGAATTTTAGAGTACTGAAGAAAGTAACATTCAAAAATAGTTTCTCTTTACAGACTTATGATTAGGAATGTTCCTTTTTGGTACTAAAATGTAGGAGTTGACAGCATGGGGAAGTGAAGGTCATTTTAAAACATTTTTTAGATGATCAGTTATGGGTTTTGCACTTGTAATTTATCCACAGAAGTTAGTGTTAACAGGTTCTACTAGTACAGATTATTCTGTACAACATGGAAGTTTTGTCTTGTGGCATAACCTCTGATGCAGGATTCAAAGAGAAATAAAGTATGCACCAAACTTTAGTCTGTACAAAACAGATGAACATTACTGGGTTTCAGTCGTTACTTTGGCGCTCATGACCAACGGGAGAAGATGTTTTTAAATTGGATGTGGATTGCAACCAGTAGCTGAAATACAAACTAGAATGCAGCCCACTGCTCAAGTAGAAAGCAAATGGACCTCTTTAGTTTCTTAAAGACATTTTGTCTCTTACACATAATTCAGATCTGAACACGGTTGGAAGAAACATGCAGTTGTTCTGACAACATTTATAAGCCCGATGCTTCAAGTTATTTTCAGAATGAAAAATATTGTTTAGCTGAGAGGTCAAAGAAACAGCAGAGGTCCTGATGATCTCTACTGAAGCACTTCAGATTGATACGTCCAGGATGACTGAGAATCTACACCAGCGTATCATGGGGTAAAGCTGTGTTCAGCCATCGATATCCCAGCTAAAGAGATGATGTTTCACCAGCATATCCTGCACCCCTTCTTTTAGTGGTTTTTGCTCCTTCTCCTAAAACAGACAAATAAAAAAAAAAAAAGAACAATTTGTTATAGAAAAAGGTAAAGAGCTGAGAAGTTACTAGCACTATTCTATGCTCCTACTATGGTTAAGTCTTTCTATTCAAACAATCAAAATGTTAACAGACCAATACAAAGCTGTGAATACTAGACAAAGACAACCTCAATTAGACTTCGTTCCGAAAATATTTAGGACTTTTTATGACTCCATTTTCCCTATAGGCTTCCATATTTCCCCCAGCAGGATGGTGTTTGGGCGCACTCCTTGCCATCACACACAGCACTCTGAATTAACAGAAAATATATACTTTGAGTGCCGCCTTTCATATACTAGCTGCGCCTTCCACGGCAAGTTAGTGTGAGGTGTGGTACCTTTAGTGCCGAGTTGTCCATTTTCCTTACATAGAGTGATTTCTAGTTTTAAGGTGGTTAGCCACTAAAAATTTGTACGAGACATCAACTGCTAAATATAAGGAAACAGTAGAGTGTTAGTTGTTCATTGAGCTTAAAGATTAAAGCCAATTCAAGGTATCTGCATCTCTGAGGATAAACTGAGTGTTTTTGGGGACTGGTAAATAATGATGGGCGGCAATTTTTCTAAATTTAATTTTACATTTTGGGGCCTATGGTGTTTAGTACAAAATAAACAGAAAGTAAAGGGAATGAAGAAGCAGAAACTGTGAATTGGCTTTAGCTACTATCTATCTTTCAGCCACCACAGTCTCAAGCAGGAGGTTACCTAGAGATCCCAACTAAACAGGTGATGCTGAACCAGCACATCCATAACTTCTGCTTTCAGAATAGCAGATTTCTGAAATGGTATGATGACGTCAACGGTTTTCCTCCTGAATGCAACACACTGTACTGATAAAACTGATTTGCTGCTGTATGACGAGCAGTTTAACTCACCACTTTTTTGTCGGGCAGCTCACTGTCCTGAGAGAGACTGAAGGCAAACTTTGACAGAACCCTGAGGGCACAAACATTCAAAATGGGCTGATTAATAAAAAAATTTTTTAAATAGAGTACACTTTCTAAACATTAGGTGTTTAGAAAAAGAAAGGGTAAAGTCTAAATGGAGATGTGATGATGAACCAACTCCATGATTTATTGATATTTTATTAAGATAATAAAAAAAATGGGTAAAAATAAAATGTTTGCAATCAATACTAAAACTATAGGTACGTTAAAATAGAAAACACAAACTGACAAACAAGGTAGCTGGATCTATTTTAGGTTTGTTGTCACATGTCTTTAATACCTGAGCTCGCACTTGATCTGCACCCAACCAGGACTGCGAAGAAATGACCATGGATGATACCATTTCTCAACAGCAGCCATGCTCGAGCATAACACCTCCAACCACAGATGAAGCACCTGCTCACTGTAAAGATGGATGCATGTTAAGCAGGAGATATTCAGAATTAATTGTAAAAATTATTTACATTTCAAACTAAAGAGCTCAAGAGGGACTCACTTAAGGCCAACACAGACAAGAGATCTGAACTTGACATCCATCTGAGCATGAACAGAGTCATGGCTCATGTTTACAGACTGCACTGCCTGGGAAAAACAAAACAAAAACAAAGAGAAGAAACTAAGTTCTCCTTTCAAACTTTTAGCTATAGGCCTAACTTTAATACAATACATATATATGAATAAAACAGTGGAAACTTTAAGTAAAACTATTTACAAATTCTCCTATATTAAGACTCAAATTAACGATTTCATCAGTCAGTGGATCTATTGGGTCCTATGCATACTCACTCTGTAGAGCAACTCCTCTGGTGTAAGAACTTTACCATCTTCATCCAACCTGGTAAATAACAGGCTGTGATGAAAAACTAAATTCTGTAATTTATCACAGAATACATTCAAATGCTTCAACTTTGTTACAACTGCAAATAAAGAAATATCTATAAAGAACCTAGTTTAAAGACTGCAGTGATTACAGCCAATAAAGCCAATTAATGTCAATATATTTTGTTGACAAATCATGTTTAATATTTCATCCTTTTCAGTTTCCTACTATTTTTAAAGGTCACAATCCAGTTTTCCTCCAAAGTGCTTTGTGTGCAGCACATGTATGTGTGGGTCTGAAGAGCTCGTCTGCAGCTATTGGCTGCCTCTGTCTGCTATTTTAAAACAAATATGACAAATGGGGAATCTGATCACTCCCGAATGAGTCGAACCCTAAAGTGGTCTTCAGCATGGAATTACTGGGGATGATAAATAGAGATCTGGACGTTCTATGAGGTTCATTACAAACAGCAGCGGAGTGCTGGAGAATCTGCAGATACCGACCCTGAGCTGCTACTTTTCTCTTTTTGCTTAAAGTTTGACTACCTGAATTAGTTAATGTGCAAAACTATGTTCACCATGTCATTCTATCTCATTTTAATCACATTGATAATATGATTACCATTTTTTCCAAAATGATTAATAGAAACACTATCAACTTATTTAGAGCCCTTATCACTTTTAAACAGAAGGAGGTTTAGCAGAAAGCTTATATTTAAGGTTGTCAAACAAACAATGTGTTTTTAGTAAGACAACTATTTAGTATAAACCCTTTAAAAATTTAAAAGCATTCATTATAAATAAACATTTATTTTACCTGTATGTTTTGCAAAGCACAAGTCTGGAGTAGACAGAATTAAAGTCCCTTTCCACCTCACAACTAGCTGCCTGAAAGAGGGAAAAAAAAAAGCATAACAGAATAATGTATTCCTATTTTGTACTTGACAAAAGATTTCATTAATATAGCCATTAGAAAATTATATCATAAATTTACCTCCTCTATGAATAACCATGGATGGCAAGGCCCTCCAAGTATGGAGGGCTTTTTTAATCCATGCTGAAAGATGGCCTTCAGAGCAGGACACAGAGTTCCTCTGACAAGGTCAGTCACCGCCTCTGTCACTGAGTCATCTCCTGCTAGCGAGTACTGGATGCAGGCAGGTTCAACAGTCAATGAATAGCAAGAGACAGGGGATAATAATCAGGTGAACAGATGCTCAAAGCTGTGTACAGCTTATCTATGGACTTCCGCATCAGACAAATTACCTCCTTGCTTCTTTCATCCAGAATCTCAACAAACTTGGCTGGAAACCAACCTATAACAAGAAGGAACAAATGTTTAATGGTAAAATAAACCCATAAAACACTTCTATACTATAATGATACAATACTGATAAAAGTACACACCTCTAAGGCCATTGAGCTCCCCGACCCAACAGTGCTCATCTTTTTGTGAAATGATCTAACAGACAGATAAGGTAGAGTAAGGAGCACAAAGGAAAATGATTTCATTCATAGAAAAAAAAAAAAAAAGGAGGATTAATCTCAGTATGGCTCACAGTGATGATGTCATTCTTTCGGAAGCCCAATTCATCATCATCATGACGCTCAAAGTCCAGCAAAGCCTTTGCCCGTCTCCGTCTGTTACGAGACACCACCAGAAAGTTTTCATGATCTCGTTGGTGGCTCTCCATGGAGTAATCTGGGGTCAGGTCCTGGAGAGAAAAAGAAAGGACCCAAACTCGATAAGTGCACCAACCCATCAGGACACGGGTTGCAAGAAAACAAACATATTTCCCCCAAATATTCAGGAGGGAAACAATGCATGGTTGAACGTTTCAACCTACAGTGTTGGAATGCCGGGGGTCTAGACAGTGGAAGTGCTCTGCAGTACGAGTTATAGCCTCCCTTAGAGCAGCCACCAACTCAGTCTGCTTAATATTTTTGGATTTCAGGGCTTCAGCCTCATCTTCCCCAAACAGCAGAGATGTCAGTGTGGACTTCCTGCGCAGCGACTGCCTCCTCACCACCTAAGTATCCACAGAAACAAGATGACCTCTCAGAAAAGCAGAGAACATCACTAAAACAGCAAATCAGGTTGTCCAACATCATAAAACAAACCTTGTTGAGGTTTGTACTGATTGTTGAGTTGTTGCCGTTGTTCAGCTGTGCCTGCTCATTGAGAATATAAGCAAGGTGCTTGTGACGATGAGCCTCCAGAGTTTCCTGGGTTAGCGTCCCTGCTATCCTCATAGCCTCTCCTAGAACTGCAGGCCCATCTTTTAACTGACTTGGTAGGTCTGACAGGGTGTTAAAAATAGATGCAGAGTTCTCTGATGAAATAAGCTCCTCCTCCTGCAGGAAGAAAACAAATAGAGAATAACACCTAAACTTGACAGACTTTAATTTTCAACCTTTGGTGGAAACAGTGGAAAGTGTCCTAGATGAGTTGATGCATAATTCATTTTAACCAAGGAAAAATAGCTGTGTGGTGGACCTACCTTAATTTTCAGCATACCCAGTGTGACCTGGAAGAGCACAACCGAGCCCTGATAAAAGAGCAGATCCCAGATCCTTAGAAGCAGACGGATGTCAACCACACTGGCAAATGATGTCAGAAACCAGTGCAAAGTGATTAGAGACATCTCTGCATGTAAACAAAGGAAGGTGTTACAATGGGAAGAATATGCATCATTTACTCATTTAATTCCAACTGAACATTACCAATGTCATGCTCTAGGAGGAGGCGGTCCAGAGCAGGCAGGTACTGAACAATGAGCTGCCTGAGAACCCTCTGATCTGTTTGGACGCCCAGCAGGGTGGAGGAGAAGTAAGATGGAGGAAGGAGGTCCTCGATCAAAGCACACATCATCCATAATGCGTCCTCCTCTTCCATAAAGAGCAGCAAGCAGGAAACAACCTGATTTAAATGATAACGTTTATGTAGATTAAAAAATAAAAAAAAAAGGGAGAAAAGAAAAAATAAGGCATAAATGTGTGGATGAAAAACAACAAATGCACAGCTGGGAAAATGAAGTTATGTGTCCTACCATGCCAGTGCCCTGACAGTAGCCAATATCCGGGTAGAGCCATGCCAGGCCTCTCAGGACCCGTCTAAGTCTTGGGACTCCGACGCTATTAAGAGTACTAAAACATGCATTGGTTGGCATAGTCCGTAACAGGTCCTTTTCAATCTGTGAAGCAGAGTTTAAGAATCAACATATTATCATTTCAAAGTTTCAATAATAATCAGTTTATAATACCACTGTTATATGCAGCGAACTCTCCAAACTAGAGAGCAGTTATTGACTAACAAATAAACCAAAAACAGTAAGAGGAGAATGATCAATACTAGATCAAATGGGATTGATAAGGCTTTTGATAAATGTTTTAGTATATCATTTAAGATGTTCTTATTTAGGATGCATATATTTGTCTGGGAAATGGAAGCTTTGGGGTTTTACTTGTTTAGCTGTGCTGGTGTCATCATTAGAACAGTTCTTGACGATTTCTTTGTAGGAAATTTCAGAGGTCCTCTTCTTTTGCAGTGCTCCAGACAGACGCATCCATAACTTGAACATGCAAATATATATATATATATATAAAAAAAAAAATAGAGAATAGGATATTTAGTGGGGTAATATTATCAACACAAGGAGAAGCAGTTGTTAGCTAAACATACAATAGCTTTAAATGGACATTAGCTCCTAGTGCCCTATGTTTAGTCAAAACAATATACTTCGTCTACCTGTGGCCTCATGCTGTGAGGTATGCCACCGAGAACCAAGGACCGCAGACGCTCGGACCGTGGAAGGACAGGATCGATTAGATCCCAGGTTAGGTCCCCCACTGTATGGTTATGGGTGAACTCCAAATGTGCTTGCCAGCGGAGCCGCTGCTGAGGGTCTTCACACTGGGGTGAGCCTTCAGTGCCCAATCTTATTTTGGGTTCCCCGTCGTCTAAGAAGGAGAGAGCACAAAGTCCACAATTAGTTAGGTTTATCTTCCAAAAAATGTTACACCAGGAAGTACTTTAAACTTTTTTTAAATAAATAAGAGTGTCATACTGGATTAAGAAATTGAATTAAATATGGAAACAGCTAAATGATAGAAGCTTCCACATAGAAGATAAACAATGAGTGTGACACAAGCGACATGACAGGGCATTTTAAGATAATCTTTTCTTTCTATGCAATGTGCATGTATGTAAATGAATAATTAAAAGAAAATAGATTATAAATACAACTGCTTGATTTGTGTGCTGCTTAACACTGAGAAGAATAACAGTAAAAGCCAAATAAAATAAAAAAACAGCTATGGTTTAGAACTCAAAACAAGTGTTTATTTCGTAATGACATAAAAAACAAAAATAAAAAAGCCTTGCTTGGAACTTTTAAGTGAAAGCAACATGAACTTCCAGCCTATACAAATGAACATTGTGGACAAGATCTTAGATTGGACATTTTATTTAACATAGGCCTTATTTTGTGTACATTTTTTGCAAACACTTCTTTGAAACAGACAAAGTTAGGCTTAAAATGATTTTGTGACAATTTTAATTTACTTGAAACAATGTAAAAGAATGATACATTTTAGGTAAGAAAAAAAAGAAGTACACTTTACGGAACAAAAGAAAAATAATTTATACCTTTTATTTATCGGTTTAACGTTAATGTTAAGATTCAATTCTTAGAGGTAAGAAAGCTTTCTTTCCTTCAAGACTGTTTGAGCCTTTCGAAAATGCTAAAATAACTTTTAGTTATAAAAAAATCATGAGTGCTGGTCTATAACTGAAAGACTACCAGGAAGTATGAATACCCCAGTGAACTGTACATGCATGTTATATAAAGCAAGTTGCAAAAGCAACAGAAGGTACAGCTGGCAAAATGTATGATCCATGTTAATTTTACCTGGCAACAGAAAAAAGGCGCCTAGCCTTAGATTTTTAGCTCTTTAGCAGACCCATTCATTTTGACGACAAATTAAAGTATAAAGAAAGCATTGATACTAAACTGATGTTAAAATGTAACTAAAAAAAAAATATTGGATAATTCAAGAGAAAAAAAAAGCCTCTACAGCTGCAACTGTGATGGTTGAAAATGTATCTAGAGGAAGAACAAAACATGTATTCATCTCTTAAGATGAGGGGGGAAAAAAGTAAAAAAAAAACTAAGATCACATGGGCTTGGTATGTGTGATCTCTATTCTGTGATACAAAGAGAATTCTGATTCAGGGGACTTTACCAGCGCTGCTTGAAATAAATGTTCTCATGTGCTTTGCTGTGTGAAAATAGTACCTTCAATGTCTATCCTGAAGCCAAACTCATCATACTGTTGTTCAGGCTGTTCTGCAGGATCTTTCTGTTCAGACAAAAATAATATAAAGTTTCACACTCCTGCATATCAAAGTGCCAAGATAAAACAAATAAAATGTAGGAGAAAAAATTGCAGATGACAGCCTGTTATATAATACTGTTGGGTTAGGAAGAAAAAAAAAAGGTTTCTGATGAAATTAAAGTCAGACTCATACCTGATGATATTTGGCTAAAATGTCCTGGGGCCACATGCTTGGGGTGAGAGCAGAAAAGGATCCACCAGGAGCTGGGGTGTACGTACCTAACACAGTGAGGGGACAGAACATGTCAATCAGAAAAACACTGAAAGTAAAATAAAAAATAAAAAAAAAACACTGGAAAAACAAATGCCTAAAATAAATTATTAATCTATTGATATATTCAGGGACTGATTACCAGACATTTTGTCGCTTGACTTTGGTCACCAAGATAGACAAAGGATCATCCAGCAAAGATGCATTAGGTCAGTCTGTGAAAAAAGAACAAGCACAATGACTGCAAAATTATGTTAATTCAGAAGCATATGTGTAAAAGACAAAGAGATAAGAGATAACACAGTAAAGAGCAAAAATTTAAAATGAAACCCTAAAAGGCAGGTCATGTGAGGCCAATTTAAAATCAGTTTTATTTCATCTACGGATTCTAGATCCTCGATCAGAAGCAATGTGTAGCTAGCAAATTCTACTCCAGCATTAGTCCTTACATTTTAATAAATCCTGCAACATAACAATGGAGAAAATGAGAAAAAGTTCATTACAGCAGTGTTCCTTTTCCAAAATTAATTCTGCATTTACTTGTTATTTTTTGTAAAATGACTCGGGTCAAAAAAAAAAAAAAATGCTTTGTTTAACAGGTGTCAATACTAATAATATATATTTTTTTTAATCTGCATACTTTTGGAAAATTACAAAGCAGTTCATTTTTTTGTATAACTGAACCAAAAAAAAAAGGTCTAGAGATAGAAAAATGCATGCCACAGAAGCACAGTTACAGAAAGTTTGGCAAACCAAGTTTCTTAACACAACTGGTTCTTTGACAACAGGAACCTTTAAGCTCTGTCCGTCCAACACAAGCAGTTTGCAAATTTTTCTATTCTATGATTGTACAGGTTTGTGAATGAAAACTACTTTAAAGCCAAGTAAAATCAGGTTAGATTATAAACTGCAACTCTAAAAGGGAACTCACCAATATGCAAACACCATGCCAAAGTGATTCATTCTAGCAGCAGGCTTCTAGCATCTGAAGGGGATTTAGGAGTTAAGAGAGATGATAAATCAATTTGAAGTTGGGAGGAGGGCCAAATCCTTGCTGGGAAGCTCTGTGTGTAACTCAGGGGAAATGAGAGACTCTAGAGCCTATTTACAGAAACATTACTAGTTTACTCACAGGCCAAATATCATAAATTATTACTGCAAATTAAGGAGGTCCCGATCCCATACTTATTTCAGAAATTAAGTCGAAATCAGCTCAAAAACTTTATATCAGAACATACTCACATGCATCTAAAGTCTCTGATCGAAACAGCCTTATAGAAAAACTCTGCTCCATCTGCTTTTGTGTGGGTTTTATGTAAACCATTGGTTAATAATAAAATAGGTCAGTTTTTCCTCATACCTGTTGCTGTTGACTATTGTTCAGTTTGAGTAATATAGCTAGATAAAGCTTTTTATAACATTCCACACTACAAAGTAATTAATAAAAGTATGATTCAAGCTCTTATATTATTGGGTAAATATCTGTATCCATCAATACTACAAGCTGAAAAATTGGTATCAGAATCAAAAAGTTGTGCTGACAAACTCTCCTGCTGGTGAAGGGCCAGCTAAGCATCCAGGTAACTAAACAAGCGTATTAACAGTTTAAATTGCTACTCTTTGAATAAATTAGAAAAAAATAATCATTTGAAGCATCTAATAGATGTAATTATTGATTTGCTATAATGGTCCCTGACAGGGACTCCCTTATGACATCTACTGTACTTATGTCTTTTTTTTTTTTTTTAAACAACTCTAGCACACAAGTTACATCTGCTTAGAATTTCCTTTAAAAGCACATATAAAGCCAAATGATCACAATTCGTAAAAATAACTTCAATAAGGTTTTATTCAGTTTAAGTGGGGCATGTGTATGAAGTTGCATTTTCAATTCTGTGTTCACTGAAATGTTGGACTGCAAAAGGTGACCTGAATATATGTACAATTCTCTGAAAATAACTGTATTTGCCCCTGATATGAGCAGAAAAAGAAGATGAACTAGAACAAGAGTTTATGACCTTAAAATAAGATTATTACATATAATGCACTTAAAGATAATAGAGTTTTTTTCTTTCATATTTCATATGTAAATCTTAGTTGATCTGCACATTGTCATATATGCCCACTCAAATCAAGATACCAATGCGGCATTGCTACCTATGGACTGCAGAAGATAGTTAAAACATCAGCGTTGTTTGGTGGTTTCATGTAACGTAAGAGGTTCCCTTTTCCCAACCTGAGCCCCTGCCCCCAGAAATGTCTGTGCACGCCAGTGTAGCAATGAGAGCATGGTTGCAATATGTGACACAGCTTCAACCAGACACATGTATGCAGATGCAACTTAAAGAGCTACTACTTGCACATAAATCAACATTTACTACTTAAGATTATCTAGTAAGTATTTAAACTCTCAGATGTGACAACATATCCATAATAATTCTACCATCTGGAGCTACATTCCCTTACTGCCACACAAACAGCACTACAGATCAGCTGATCTCTCAACTGAAACTCAGGGGGAATCAGGCTTTTGTTGTTTCAGCTCTAAATCTATGGAGTACTTTGCTGATGCAAAATTAGAGAAAGCCTCTCAAAGACATTTTTAAATCTGTGTTTAAGCCACAGCTTTTCTCTTTGGCATTTGAACCAAAATGAGGTGTTAATCGATTTTACTTTCTTGTGGTTAATGGTGTATTTTATGTTGCTACTTCTACTTCAATTATTCATTTCATTTTTTTTATAAATGCTTATTTTTTACTTTCATTAATCCCTCTGGTGCAGTACTTTGGTGCCTTTTTTCATTTTATTTTAAGTGCTTTATAAATAAAGTTAGACACTTTTTTCGACTAGGTACAGATTAAATCCCTGGGTTTTTATCTATTTAATTGCTTTAAACAAAGTTGTGCAGAAAAAGCCCAAATTTGACTAAAAACACATAAAAAAAAAACAAAACAAAAAACATTCCAACAAACAAAATACAGTATAAAATAATAGTTGCATAACTGTTGATGGTTCCAAAATATATACATATCTACTTTTAGTTACGATGCCAACACCAACATGAATGTATTCTGCACCAAAGGAAATAGAGTAGACAGAAGTAACTTGAGCAAAACATTAACAGATAGCAAATGTAGGGGAGGGGCAACACACTCCATGGGATCTTAAAGGATGGTTGCTGAATGCACATGAATCAGCCAACACATGTACGCATCAGCTGATAACATTACAAGAAAAAGAAAAAAACAACCACTAACATCAACCGGATATAAGCCTTGGTTAATGCATCTCTACTCAGTAAAACGTATAATCACACATATAGTATATTTTCCTTGCAATGTATTGGGAAAATTAAGTTTATTCATTTTGGAAACATTTTAAATGCTGACCCCTCTCTATTTACATGAAATGTTAGTTAACTTAGATGCTGGTACTTAATGCTAGTAATCAGAAAGATGTTTCTAGTTCTAGTTTTCTTCATAAATTAACTAATTATAAGAGATAACATATGGAGAAAAAAAAACATGACATTACATTGTGAGATATTTAGAAATTTTATTTTTATGTTTGAAATGGTGGATCATCAGGATATTAGGTGACAAATCATCTTCCTTAGCAAAACAGTATAGTGTGCAGAGCAAATTTGCCAAAAATTTAGAGAAATCCAAAGCTTTACACTGCTGTTTAGAAGACTTAAAGCAATATTCTCTGAAAGGGGAGAAAATTTGACTTGGAATAGTTTAAAGAGATATGATACATTTGAAAAACCTGAAACCAACATCTCAGTTCAAACAGGTGTGGCCTTGTTCATCTATGTTTGCAGATATTGGTCAAACACTGCGCCATACCGACAGCAATTACTACATCCTGGTAAAAAAAAAAAAAAAATGCTGTAACTGTAAGCGGTGATGTAACCTCCAGATTAAAGAGTTGATATTTCCCTGAAACCAGTCCAGCAGGCCATGCCACAGCTTTTCCGCACACCTCCTCCAGATGTTCCTCATAGTAACCCAAACACTGGTGACTCATTTTCCTCATAGACACGTGTCACAGAAATATTTTTGTCTTCCATTTCCTCAAAAAAAGTAAAAAACTGAAAGTTTTCACTTACAGAAAGCAGGTATAATACTACCTTTAAGTTTATTACTAATCCTTATAAATAGACTAAAACACACCATTTAGAATAAGGATGTCAAATGAAGTGCAGGAGACAAACAAGGAATAAATGAAACAATAAGAGTAACAAGGTAAAAATACGACTGTTGTTTATTACCTAGCGTAGTTTAATCTAATTTGTCAGCTGATATATTACCGTTACGTCAAGCTACAGCTGACGTCAGGTGCACAAAAACACCGCGCAACATATATTATCCACGCTGACATTTGTCCGCTGATGGAAAAAAAATAGAACAAAACAATTGGTGCAGTAAAAAATTAAAATAAAATGTTCTTCCTGGAGAACACTCCAGACATTACAGAGACGAGCGTCACTATTTAGCTGCTAGCCATACATGCTAAATTTAGCTTAAGCTAATAGTTGGAAACAACAGAACAACATAGCCGGTCATTTTTACGTACCGCTATATCTTTTGCTGAAAAGACAGGGATGGTTTTGTGTAAAATGCCGTCTGTAGTAGAATATGCAAAACACCATATCGCATGGCTATCACTTCTCATTAATGATATATCTACGTTGTGCACCTGCCAAAGGCGGAGTGTGGCTTCTGTGTATTCCTACACCCCGAGGGTTTTCCTTGTTCTACACCCAGCAGCGTCACCTTTCAGTGCAAGATATCCTTCCGCGAAGGCGACTGTGACGACGTTCCATTCATTACGTATGGACAGACACGCCCCTCATTCATGCCAGTGCTCGGAAACAAACAAGTCACGACTTTACAGCAGAATAGATGAATGTTATTAAAATTAAAATTGACATATCGCCAAAGATATTTTGCGGTTTATATTTGATAAATCTGCACAGGTAAACTGTCATTTATATTTTCCTTATAAGCATCTGAGCGTTTCTTTGAAAATTTTTGCTCCTAGGTAGTTGCTTGTTTGTTTGTTTTTAGCATTTTCATTTCCAATTTTGTTATGTTTAGAATGCATATTACACACACAGACAAAACAACAAATTAAAAAAATCTTCAGTCTATTTTTCTTCTGTCTTTTTCTTACATTGTTGTGTTGAAAATAATAATAGTCTTCAAAAAGATGCAAACTCATATATATATATATATATATATATATATATATATATATATATATATATATATATATATATATATATATGAGTTTGCATCTTTTTGAAGATATATATATATATATATATATATATATATATATATATATATATATATATATATATATATATATATATATATATATATATATATATATACTGATCAGATAATCAGATAAAAATTGCACTGATCAGATAAAAGAAAGAGCCATAGGACTCATTTTCAGAAAGATTGTGCTGTTATATTCTTGATACCCAACAGGAGGAAGGCCAATTCTACATTCTGATTGGACAATCAGCACCCAACACGAACATTAATAAAGCTTCTTTTCAGAGCTTTTCTATGTTAAAAAAGAAATAAACTCTCATATGGGTAGTTTTTATTTAAATCTGTGTCTTTTGTTGAAGTGTATGAAAGCTTTGATCCTTCCCTGATTCAAGATTTTTCAGCTACACAGTTTAGCTTGCTTTACCCCAGAAAGCAGATACCGGTATACAATAAAACACAGTTGTGTTTCTTTTTCTTTATTTAACCTTTATTTAACCAGGATAGATAGATCATTTCAAGTTATCTCAACCTGGAAAGTTGCTTAATAAAGTAAGTTCAATCAGTATGCAGGCTTTATTAACTGGATTGGTGGCAAATTATGTCAACTACTTTGAAGTAGAGCACAGTGGGATATCAGAGTTTATACCTGTTGCATAATGGTTACAGTTTTTAGTGGTCAAGACCAGTTACATAAAGAAGGCAAATTAGTTATGTGAGATGAAGGAAGATTGACAGGATCTGTTAAAACTGCTGGCTTTGGTCTGACTTGTTTCAAATTAATTACAGTAATAACTAAGACAACCATTTGGATATATCTATGAGAAAACCTTGCTGAATACAGTGTATGTTGTGACACTGATTTCCTATGAGTACTAGCCTTAGATTATACATATATATATATATATATATATATATATATATATATATATATATATATATATATATATATATATATATATATATATACACACATATATATATATATGGATGTATATATATATATATATGTATGTGTGTGTGTATGTGTTTTTGATGTTGTCTTCTTTTTTTGTATTATATATTTATTGAAGCATGAAGAATGAGAGAGAAAAATAAATCTCCCTTCATAATAAGGAACAAACCCAGTTCTCATTCTTGTTAAGATAGATACAGAAGGTATACAAATATAACATGTTTTAATATATAACTGGATCAACCGATTTAGCTGAGATGCACCTTTTCCTGAACCTGTGGTGAAGACTGATCAAAGAAAAGTAACATTTGATGACTTTTTTTTTTCAGAGCTTAAATAACACATGATTTTTACCCGTTTTAAATTTGATAACATATCCTGAATCCAGTGTGATGCCATGTGTGGGGCACCACTGTTCCATCGCAGAAGGATTAGGCAGTATGCTATCAAAGCAATAACCTTGTGCTCGCAGACTGCCCCACTCAGGCACCGATCTGATGAGGTCCATTAGAGAACCAATGCCAAAAGCCAACAGCCTAATTGTAAATGTATTATTATAGTATGTTGGGGAACAGTTAATTTGGAAAAACAGCCATAAGAATACATACAGAAATAGATAAATTCTGCAATTATATATTATTTGATGTATCTTTTCTTCTCTTCAAATATTTGCATCACTTCATATGAAGGATACTTGTAAAGCCACATCTTTAACCAAGTTGTTCCTTTAAAAAAAAAAAAAAGAACATTCTCTGTCAAATCTGGTCCAACAGGTGGGCACTAACAAGGAAGCAAAAAGTACTACAATCTGATGCCTCCTTCTTCTCTTAAGAAGCAGTTTCATGGAGCCCAAAGTCTTTTCATCTGAATTAAAATTCATTTTTAAAACTTGTTATTAAATTATAAAATGTTTTACTACCTTTCATACACTTTACAAATCGTGTGAACTCTAGAATACAGGTTTCTTACTCTTCTTGAGAAGAAATCAATTTTAATCTGAAGTGATAATCACTTGTATGTTTCTCTAGCATTAATCATTGCATTTCCCCCTTAGCTCCTGCCGCCCTTCTCCTCTCTTATGCAGTTGACATCTGCTCATTCAAAGGTTCTTCATGGTCCCATAAAAATAAATTCATATTTACCATCTTATCAGTCTCTGTTACTCAAACTGCCTTACCTTTGCGTCTTTGTGCTGACGCATCATGTGACATTCTCCGCTGTTTAAATCGCCTTTTGAGTCGGCATGCTCGGTCTGCTGCAGCATGCCAGATTGACTCACATCATTAAAGATGCTGAAGCATCGACCTTGCCTGCAGTTTGCGCTGAGGGGTCCAGGCACTTTATTTACCTGACATATCAAAATGGTGTGGGAGGGGCTTCATCATGTGTTTTGCCACATCTTTCCTTTTACCTCCCTTTTTTAAATTGTCTGACTCCTTTTGTAATTGTTTTAAGAACCATTTGCAGTGCCAAAGAAGCACTGAACCTTGCATTGTAATTAGAATGATGTCAGATAGAGCAAGAGAAAACTGGAGGGAAAGATGCTATGGGAGGAGTAAGAAGACAGAGATCGAGGAATAGAAAGCAGAATACTGGATTAGAGATCAAATAAAAGAAAATGGTCACTGATACGAAGTGGAAAAATAGAAGATAATGATACAAAAAATTTACCATTAAGATTTTTGTTACAATACATGCATGGTTGGAAATGCAATATTCCTAATTAAAGAAGGACAAGAAAAACACATTCTTAAGAATATAATCCAAAGACAAATCAAGGTCTTATTAAAAAAAAAACAAAAGTAAAATATAGCAATACAAGAAGCTAATTTGCGTCAGTCTGTTTTATGTATCAAAGAACAATGTCCTCTTTATGGTAACTAGGTAAATCAGTAGCTTGCACTAAATTCAAATGAAATCAAAGACATCAAGAGCGACTTATTCAAGGCAGTTCAATTTGCTGCAGTCATGCAGTTACTTTTGAGGACAGAAGATAGCAGTATTGTGTTGCACCAAAGTAAAAACATGAACTGACAGGAAAAGGGAACCAAATTTGAATATATGAAAGAAAAATGAATATCTTTATATAATAATTTCTACTATAAAAAAAAAAGATATATCCAACAGTCACAACAGACTTGCAGCTTTCTTATCTTTATATATACATTCTCATATTTCATTTGCATATTGCATTTAGCAACTGGAGCCTACAGGACACCATGAAAACACATGAATTAATCTGCACATCTCTGCTGTCATGTTGGAGTTTCAGGGCTGCCTCTGAGCACAGCGCATGGGTTTATGTAACGGGCATGATGTGGCCTCTGCCTTTGACATGTTTTAATTCATCAATGCAAATAAGCTCAGGCTGGGTCAAACAAGGCTTAGATCAAAAGTCTCTCAGACAGCTGTTTTTTTTTTGGTCTCAGGGGGCTTCTCTTGGGACAAGGAAGATTACAGTTGAAGGGTAAGGGGCTTCTGTGGCTACACATTGAAATGGCAAGTCATTTCTCATGGGTGCTGTAATGGAAGTGGTATTTTGTGAGTTTTATGTCTCTGCTGCTTGTCAAGTTAAACATAACCGCTAATTGAATAATAGAAGAAACAGGTTTTAAAGTTAAATACACAGTTGTACTACATACTGTAAATCTGAAAATAAAAATGTGTTTTTCATTATTTTATTTTTATCTATATCAAAATAAATTTCAAAAGGATAAATAAACACGTATAAAACAATCATTCAAAAAAAAATATATTAAAACAGATCCAAAAAAAGAATAACTAAATTAATAAAACACAGACAAATTGTGTCACACCTACGTTCGTAAAGCTTTTTTATTTCTATGGCCTAACCCGGACCGTAAGCTTAAGCCTGTCATGGTTTTGGTTCTGTTTAAGTTTTATCTTTGAGTTTTCATTGGTTTTATTTGCATTTTGTGTAATTCTATTTATTTTTTATTTTATTTGAGTTCTTATGTATTTCTTGTTTGCCCTCTGTTGCCCTCTTGTGTCAGTCCCCTTTTCCTTAGCTCCTTTCTAGACTCCTCTGTTCACACCTGCTCCCAATCTGCTGATCAGCCTGGTCTTTGTTTCTCTCTCCCATATATTCACCACCTGCTCAGTCACTGTTGCTGGTTTGTTGTCATTTCTTTTTGCCCTGTTTTGTGAGTGTTTCTAGTTCTCAGTTTCTGTGGATTTATGTTTTTGGATTTTTTCTTCTGTTACCCTTTTTTGTTATTAAATCTTCAAGAAACCACTTGAGCTTCTGCATTTGGGTCAAACTTCCACCCCACCATGACAAACCCTAAGTAATTAGCAATACATACATAACCCTAAATCATATATCATGAGGTGTCTAGGGAAAGGGAAGTACAAGACCCACTTCCCGGATACAGATGAAGAAGACACATATGAACATTAGTTAAGAATATCATTACAATTATTGCACTGTAAAGATATTATTATACCAAGGGAGTTGATATAATGTGATGACAAGGAGGTGAGACTGACATCGCATGCAGGGGTCTAAAGGGGCCG